TTGCAGCTCGCAGACTGAGTCATGAGCAGATATAGGAACAGTTGGACCTCCTGACAACAAACCACACTTTTCCATGTTGTGTGTTAACAATGATTAACTAAACGACAGAAGTTTACCCATCCTTGGGGCAGTGCCCCTCTTTGCATTTCAGAGGAGTTACTGGGCTTTTAAATTGGCTGTCCAATTTGCTGACTCTGTAACTGGCTGGCTTTCAAAACTTATATTAGAAGTCTTGCCTTTCTTGGCTATTTCTTCAATAAATCTTTCTTGTAAAAAGAAAAAAAAAAAAGAAGAAGAAGTTTTGCAATCTAGCTTATAAAACAGAATAAGTTTTGCAATGCAAGCTTATAAAGTCAACTCATAAAAAATTAAAAATCTCATCAGTCACACTATGCCTACTGTTAAAGAAAATACAAGCAAAGGTAGCAGCATGCAATGGAAAAGGCAGTGAAAAAGACCCAGATGGCAAAATGTCCGATTTGCTTAAATAAGGTGAAGCTGTCAGCATATTTTCCTGGGATGGTTTGGGTTGGAGGGACCTTAAAAAGCACCAGACCCAACCACTCAGCTCTAGCTCTTACAGAACTGCCATCTCAATTTCTCTCAATTGCATTCCAAATACGTAGATGGTTATTATTATATTTCCTCCTCTCCGTGAGGAATTTTGTGACCAGTAAGTTAAATGAATTTCAGCTCGATTCAAAGGTCCCACACTCACACTGAAGACTACACATACAGATTTGAAGTCTCATTTAATTATACTTTAAAAGTTTTGTACACACCTTGATCCACCTCATGGAATAGAATTAGGCTCCAGACAGACGGCAGACACAAGAATGACAGCCTTAAAGTTAAATACAGCTCACAGACCAAAGTTGTAACTCATCCTGGAAAGCCTGGAACACTTTTTACAATCAGCTGCTCTGCACAGTTCATTTTTATCTGGATCTTCGTGGTTTTATTTCATTACATGACAGAGATTTCACCTACAGTGCAGGCAAAGGGTACTCCTTCATTTAACACTGTGCAAGTATGCAAACACAGCAACAGTAACCATGCTGTCCATTTTCTCTTGTCAGGTCTAAAAGCCTGGACAACTGGGAACCACAAAGAACAGCGTGGCCCAAAGGAACCTGATAAACCAATATCTGCTATTCAAATATCAGCTTCACAAAAGCATTTTTTCCCTCCCTAACTTTGCATTAAAAAGTCTGGAAGAAGTCTTCCAAATGGAAGATCTTTACATATCACGGGTTTTTGTTTTGTTATTGAGCCTCACGTGTTGCTGAGGAAGAACAGAGAAAATCAAGGGACTTCTTCCAGAACTAAAGGTGAGTTTTGGTTTCTTTCTCATTCTTTAAAGATGTATTATTGAACTACAGTGATTGCTGGTTCAGAGTTCTATCAAAAAGATTCACAGAATGGCTCGGGTTGGAAGGGACCTCAAGGATCGTGAAGCTCCAACGCCCCCACCACATGCAGGGCCACCAACCTCCCCATTTAATACCAGCCCAGGCTGTGCAGGGCCCCATCCCACCCGGCCTTGAACACCTCCAGGGATGGGGCACCTCTCTGGGCAGCTGTTCAGCACCTCACAGGCAGTGATGTGACCCCACTTTGATACTTTGTGTTTCACTTCTGATGTTAAACAACAGTTCCGTTCTCTTCTTCCTTATCAAGGTGAGCATGCATTCCACCAGCCTATTTACCAATCCATATGCAATAGAAGTCCTAAGAACTAAAAGAGAAGAGCTAATAGAAGGCATTAATGACCCCGACCACCTTCTGAGCTGCCTCATAGACAATGGCATTTTTTCCCCAGAAAAAAGGATGGTTATGAGTTTCTACAGGACACGAACAGAAAAGAACTCTCGAGTTTTAGACATCCTAGTTTCTCAAGGTGAACGAGCCTGCAGGCTCTTTTTCTATCCATGTTTAAAGCAAGTGGAGCCAAAACTTTATAACAAGATGAGAAAATATGTCAGTGAAGTAAACGAAAGCATCAGAGATGCCAGAAGACAACTGATAGGATACTTACTTGAAAGGGACAAAGTTTGGTTTGAAAAGAGCTGTGAACAGTACCAAGAAGAAAGAGAGAGTCCTCGAAGAAAAAGACACGAAGGGGCTACTAAGAAGAAAGGAAAAGAAACTCAGCTTTCAGGAGCAGCAAAACCTAGAAAACGTCATTCTGATATTGGCATCTTTGACGCAGCTGCCAAGGGTTATATTTCAGAGTTAGAGAAAACCCTGAAAGATAATGATATTAATGCACTGAACTCTTCAAATGAAACCCTTCTGCACGTTGCAGCCTCTCAGGGGCACCTAAGCATAATGGAATATTTGATCAGCAAAGGTGCTCAGCTAGATGTGATGGACCAGAAAGGGAGAACACCTCTGCACAGGGCTGCTGAGAAAGGCCATGGTGATGCAGCCAAAGTGCTTCTCCGCTGCGGGGCTCACATGTACAGTTTGGATAAAGAAGGCAAGACACCACTTCATCTGGCTGCACAGAATGACCACAGTCACATAGTGAAGATGTTCCTGAGAGAGGAAGCAAGAAGCACTGAGAACGTACATCACTTTTTGCACATGGCAGCTCTTAAAGATGAAAGCAGTCTGGCAAAAATGCTTTTAAAGTGTGGTGCCTCCACTGATGGGAAGGATGAGAGAGGACAGACAGCTCTCAGTTACGCTGTTTCTCAGGGCTTTGAAAACACTGCAAAAGCACTGCTGGAAGCTGGAGTCAGTGTTGATTCCAGTGTGGCCGAAAGAGCCTTCGACAGCAACCACCCATCCATCTTCAAAACATTGCTAGAATATTCTAAAGATTTGCCATCGGACATAATGGAGTCAGCTCTTTTTAAAGCTTTACAGAAAAATTTGCATGGTATTGTAGCAGCTTTAGCTGACAGAGGTACAGATGTAAATGCCTACAATGAAATGCAGTACACTCCTTTACTCCTGGCGTGTGAAATGGGCAAGGCTGAATGTGCAGAAGTTCTAATCGAAAAAGGAGCAAACTTGGGAATAAAAACCCCTGCTTCAGACACAGCTTTGCACCTGGCAGTTCGGGCTGGGGCTGCCTCCATCACCAACCTGCTCCTGCACAAAGGGATGGAAGCCAATGTGACCAATCAGACCGGTGAAACCCCACTCCATACTGCTGCACTGCACAGCAACGGAGCATTGGTCAACCTGTTAGTCAGCGCAGGGGCCAAAATTAATGCTGTCACTAAAGAGTTTGTTTCTCCCTTGCATACTGCAAGTCAAAGAGGCAATGCTGATGTTGCCAAACAGCTGTTGCACCACAAAGCCAATGTTAATGCGAAAGATAAGCAGTCAAAATCACCTTTACATTTTGCTTGTGAAAGGGGAGATAAAACAATGGTGGAGATGCTTCTGAATGCTAATGCTGACTCCAGTGCACAAGACAAGGAGAAAAAAACACCTCTGCATGCTGCAGCTCTGCGAGGCCATCTCAGTATTGTTCAAGTTCTGCTAGCTAGAAAAGGAAGACTTGGAGTTAAGGACATGGATGGATGTACTCCCCTGCACTATGCAGCCATCAGAGGAAACACAGAAGTTGTAAAGATTCTTTTGACATCAACGAAAAATAAGAATATTGATGATAGAAACATTTGGAGAAAGACTGCATTGCATATTGCAGCAGAATATGGGCACAGTGACTTGATATACTTATTGCTGAGTTATGGAGCAGCCGTTAACGCCTTAGACAGCAATAAGGATACCCCATTGCACTGTGCTTGCAAGGCTGGTCACTTAAATGCTGTAAATTCCCTCATAAACTGGTCAGAAGGAGAAAAAGCCAATTTGCTAGCAGCTAATAGCCTCAAAAAGACCCCATTGCAAGTAGCAGAATGTAACAAAACAAAGAATCAGGCTCACATTGTCACCCTCCTGAAAAAGAAAATGTTGATGGCAAAATAAATAAGTAAAGCAAACATTTCTAAATGTAAAGGCAGAATTATTCTTTAATATAATTTGGATGGTGCCGGGGCTCTGTGTGATTGAGAACAGGCAAATTAAGTCAGTAATCAGTGGGGACCATGGAAAACAGGATCTTAAACGTACCGTTAAACTTTGGAGCATTGATTACACACTGCTTTTTCACATGAACCTCATACTGGGGATCTAAAAAGTGGCAATCTTAAATGCACTGTTTTTGACCTTCTGTAGTATAAATCACAACTCAAGTCTGCACGGATGGCTTAGTTAAACACCAGGTTCTTAACTAGCCATCTATTATGAACAAGGAGACATTTGTATCCTCAAGGATACAGAGCATAGACATGTTGGAGCTGGTAATACAGCAGTTTGGTCTGTTTAGCTCAGGCAGAACTAACTGCAAAGCACTGCTGACAGATTGCCCTGCCCTCCCTTCCAGCCTGGCCATACACTCCTGTTCCAGGCTGGATGTGGGAGCCGAGCCAGCCTATTCCACAGCTGCACCTGGACAGAGGAGAGAAGCAGGGCTACAGGCACCCAGTATCAGGCTGTAACCTGCTCACACATCTCTGTGTGATACCCCATCGCATGGCATTAACATAACCTGGAACTATAAAAACTGATCTGTGTAGGATCACAAAATCACAAAGGCTGGAAAAGACGCCTAAGGTCACCGAGCCCAACCCACCGCACTGCCTACATCCCTCAGCACCACATCCCCACAGCCCTGGATTGCCTCCAGGTCCGGTGACCCCACCACTCCCCGGGCAGCAGTACCGGGGCTCGATGGCTCTTTCTGACAAGAATTTTCCCTAATATCCAACCTGAACCTCCGCAGGCACAACTTAGGGCCTTAGTTAACTCACCCTGAGCGCTTCTCCTCAGAGCACTCCACCCCCTCTCCCCGCACCCCGAGCCCGCTCTCGCCCCCTTCAGACCCACCCTTCACCTACTCTCTCTCCCCACACGGCACCACAGCCGCTGCCCCACGCCTGGCCCTCAGCTGCCCTCTCCCCGCCCGGCGCCCCGCCTACCCAGCGCCATCTCTCCGCCTCCGACCGGCGTCTCCTCAGGGCGCGGCTTCGCCTCTGCCTGTCGCGCGTGCGCTCGCCGCCAAATGGGCATGCGCAGAGCCCCTCGATTCTGCCTCGTCTCGCGAGACTGCGACTCTTCTCGCGAGAGGTGTGAGCCCGCTATCATGGCGGCGGAGGAGCCGGAGGTGGATGTCGAGGGGGATTTGGCGACCGCGCCAGAGGAGGCAGCCTCAGAGTGAGTGAGGGCCGTGCGCGGGCACACCGCCGGTACGGCGCCCGGCCGCTGCGGGGAGCCTGAGTTCTTCGGTTTGTTCGGCCCGGAGCAAAGGGGCTGAGGGGAGGCCTTACTGCGGCCGCGGGTCCTCGCAGGGAGCGGAGCGGCGGCGCTGAGCTGTGCGACAGGGCTGAGGGGACGGCGTGGGGCCGTGCAGCGGGAAGGGCGGGCGGTTAGGGAGCGAATCTGCACCACAGGCGTGGAACGGGCTGTCACACAGGGCACGGTTCGCAGCTAAGGCACGTCTGACCGACTTGTGGAGTGAGCGGGCAGCCGTGTTTCCCGATCCAGCGGTGCCGGGAGAGAGGAGGGGAATCGCCCTGTGACAGAAAGCAGGCCGTGTGTGGTGTGGAGCAGCACCTCCTGCTGCACTGCTGGACGGCGTTTTGGGCTACTGAGCTGACAGCAGTAACGCTGTTGTCTTGCATACACGAGGATGTGTGCCTGCTTGCAAAGAGATGTGGGAACTGGTGGCACAAAGCAGTTCAGAGTACAAGAGAATTTGCTTTTAGTACTCTAGCAAGGGAGAGAGGGCTGATGGCTCTTTAGGCAAGTCTTAATGTTCTGGAAGCAAAGATTTGGATGACAAGGCATTACATAAATTACCGGGTGGTTTTTGCTATGTTAAGGTAGAATAAAGTTGATTAGTGATGGTTTTCTGGAGGTAAAAAGCAAATACTGACAGGAAAAGGTAAGCATAGTCTGGACAAAGTCTGTAAGAGCGCTGACTATCCCACGTGATGAGATTCTATTAACCCTTTTGGCAGCAGAAGCTGTCCTCTACAGGCAAACATTATTGCTTTGTTAAGGCAAATGTTCCTACCTCACAAAGGTGGAGCAGTGTTAACTGGGAATAACACAAGTGAATGACACAGTTAAACAGATGTATTGTCTGTACTATCCATGAAGATCTGGTATTTTTCTTCTGTACTTATTTTGCAAAGTCCCTTCTACTTTCAGTGGTTCTGGATGGGGCTTCTTACTGTGCAGGGTTTCACTGGTATTTTGTATGGTTTGCAATGAGATAGGTGAGATGTTCAGTCTGGAATACTAACAGCTGACTTACTCAGGGGCAGCTAGGCTGTGCCTTACAGAATATTATAAGATAATAACATTGCCTAACAGTCTACAATGCGTGGCTTGAATTTTAGGATCTCGTTCTTCTGTTCATGGTATAGTTGCTAATGATGCATTCATTCTGATTGAATATATTTGTGGTTTTGAATATGGGACTTCTTTTCAGAGGTCATGAAAACACAGCATCAAGCTTACTGCAGGATCACTACCTTGATTCATCTTGGAGAACTGATAACAGTCTTGTAAGTTATTTTTAATTGAATGGTGCTTCTAGCGAGGTTATTACCACTTCAGTCTTACCTCCATGTACATCCCCTCTTAGCTTATTAGACACTGTTTTTCGCTCATTTTCAGAAGCTGTTTATATATTGATTCTTGATACTTAAATAACAGCATAACAGAATCCAGAATTAAGAAGTGTTTGTGTTGTTTGCAGCCGTGGACGCTGGACAGCAGCATTAGTGAAGAAAACAGGGCCGTCATTGAGAAAATGCTGCTGGAGGAAGAGTATCCTTTTTCTGATTTGCTTCTTAATTACAAAGGAACTGGCCAAATTGTTTCCTTGGCAGTGTGACTGAAGCACTGTCACTTAATTAAGTCAGATAGCTACCATAGCTATCCTGTTGCTAGTAAGTCTGTGGCTTCTTCAGCCTGATAAGTATCCATAGCCACAATTACATAGTTGAGGCATTGGAAACAAAATATCCTGATGTGGTCAGTCGTGAGTTTTAAGAATAGGACTGCAAGGCTTTTCAGCTTTAGGCTGCTCCTGGTGCCTGAAATTGTGCTCCTTTCCACATCAGCTGTTTTTTCAGTGCTACCTACAGCGTTGTGCTGACACAGCCAAAGCAAACCTGCCCAAACAGCCGTTTTCACCAACAATTGCTCCAATTCATTTTCGTATTCCTTCTGTGACTATGAGTAAGAAAAGAAACAAGAAAATAAAGGAATTTTCCCAACGTAACAAATTATTGAGAGTTAAACTGAAAATGGATAAGGCATCAGTACAAAGAAAGTTACTTCATTATGGTTTCTGTGTCAAAAAAGCAAAAGCCAATTGTAGGAACAGGGCACTTAGCTCACTGCTGTAAGTGAGTGTGTGCGTTCAGAAAACAAGCATCACTGCCTTCTGTATTAAACTAATAAGAGCACGTGAATTTTCAGTTTCTAAAGCCATACATGCAGCATTTCTACAACTGAATTATTTTGAACCAATGTGATCAGTCACATTTCTAGAATTCTCACATCTTTGATACTTTGAAGACTTTCTTAGTAACAATTTCAGATATTATCTCTCAAATAAATCACTTTCTGAGAAAATATGGCTCAGTCAAAAGGAAGCAGAAAAAAGATCTGTGAAAAGGTAAGCTGTGTTCTGGGAAAGCTCTCAGATAATAAGGGATTAATCAATAAGAAAATTAAAAGCTGGTTAATTGCAGGTATGTGCAATTGTATCACATTTAATAACTTCTAATTTCATTCTGTTTTTGTATTTGCAGCCCACATAAGAAAACTGGAAAAGCCATGTACGTACATTGTCACAGTTGCCTTTTTTCAGCACAGCTTCCATTTTTTTAATTACAGAATGCACACCCATAAATGTTAGCTCCCTAGCTGTTATTTCTGTTAGCAGAAATACTGTATGTAGCAAAAGGCCTGTAGTAAAATAACTTGTTGTGCTTTGTTGCTGGTTTGTTGGTTTGTTTTGTAGCACAGTGGCCCTTATTTAAAAAAATTGGTTGGGTTTCATGGTTATCTGGAGTCTTTCGTTGTGATGGAGAAGCTGACACGTTTCCCAGTCTGTCAGCCAAGTTGGTGCTTCAAACAGCACCATGAGCTTTACAGGAGATGATCAGTAGTGCTCTGGTCGTGCAGGGGCTGTCTCCAGTTGCAGGGGTTTGGGAAGATGTGTTTAAGAGAATTCACCTCATTTCCTTCCTGTTCATAGGGTGCGATCTCCTACAAAACCAGGTAGCTACTCATTGAAGTGGACATCAGAAGAAAAAGAACTATTTGAACAAGGGCTGGTATGATTGCATTGATGTGTAATGTTTTGAATAGATCATTAAGTTATCTTAAATAATAAACTAACCATAAATAAGCATGCTGTGTTTAGCTGCTTCTACTCATGTACTTCTAATTTGATAAGAATTAATTACCGTGTATACTCAGAGTGTTTTTATAAATCAGATCTGTACTGATGAATTGCCAGAAATGGCTCTGTGTGTTTAGCATGCTTTGTTCACTTGGATCTGATTACAATTTGAGATCACAAAATATCTGGAATATGTTGCTTCCTGAATTGCACAGCCACACTCCTGTCATTAAGCGTGCTTTAACTACTAACTGCATAGGGTAAGTCAACTAAGGAAAGTGAAATCCTGCAGCTAGTGTTATAAGATCTTCAGAGATTACATGGTTGTGCAGTGCTGAATGCAATAGGGTTTGCTTCAGCAAGTGTAAACTCATTTCAGTAGGATTCCTTGGGTTAGTAGGCAATGGAATTTACTGCATGTCTACAATGAGTGAGGAATAGCAATGCTTGTTACTGTTGGATGCAATGCTTTTCTTGGTGCAAGGTGATCACTGAGCTTCTTGGGTTCTGCTGTACTGTTGGTGTGTTTGCAATGTGTAACTGAGCTTTTATACAATTGGGTATAAACTGGAATGTTAGAGGCTGGGTAACTCAGCTGTGCTTTGTTGTGCTAGGTGAAGTTTGGCCGCCGCTGGACAAAAATTGCCAAGTTGATTGGGAGTCGTACAGTGCTACAAGTAAAGAGCTATGCCAGGCAGTACTTTAAGAACAAGGTAAACAGGTATTTCGAGTATTATTGTGAAGTTAGTTTGCTTTGAATGATTTCAGTATTTCTATTGCTTTGTCAGCCCATCAGACACCTCCCTCAGAATGTCCGTCTGCTGTCAAGTAAAATTGTCCTGACTTTCTGGGAGGCAGAGGGGATTGTTTCTGTTTTCTTTCCCTTAAAGTATTTTATGCTTTCCTTAGGCAAAAAACGATGGTTCTGAAAGAGAAGAGCAAAGTCAGCATGGTGGCAGCCTTCCCACTGAAGATGGGGTAAGGGTAGAAGCGTGGTCAGCTGGAAACTTGAGAGGCCGTGCAGACCCTAACCTGAATGCAGTGAAAATTGAAAAGCTGTCGGACGATGAAGAAGTAGATATAACTGATGACATGGATGAACTGTTTTCTCCTGCTTTCCAGCAAGATGTTGGAAAATCTGAACTGTCAGAAAGTCCAGCTGAAGAAACAAAAGGAACTGAGCATGCTTTTCCAAGTGCTGGACGTAGTTCTGCTGTTTCTTTGCTGAAAGAAGGCTCTCAGAATACCAAGCAATCCACAGTGGACGCGTTACCTTCTCAGGTAGCGACGTGTTCTCAGCACGTGAATGGTGATAAATCTGTGAACTTGGATTACCAGCAGTGCAGTGATTTTATAGAGAAAGCTGAACAGGGCACAACAGGAGCATCTCATGGTGCTAGACAAATAACTGAGCAGGAGCTTCATGAGGAACAGAGAGACCTGGCTGATAACGGACTGCTTTTTCATCCCCCCTGCCAAGTGGATGAAGATCACCAAGAAGAAGCAGAGGCTCTTAAGCCACCTGATCAAGAAGTGGAGATTGATAGAAGCATCATCCTGGAAGAAGAGAAGCAAGCTATTCCTGAATTCTTTGAAGGACGCCAGGCCAAAACACCAGAGCGTTACTTGAAAATTAGGAATTATATTTTGGATCAGTGGTAAGATGTGTTCATTTCACTTCTTTCAGTGAGTCATTAAAATCACTCTTGACCTGCTTTGTTGCAGTTAAAACAGTACAAACAGCTTTTGAAAAGAGTAGAAGTAAGTTTGTAGTAATAATCTAAAGCTGATCAGTGAATGGTACTGATGGGTGTTGCTGCTTTCATCTCTTCCCGATTCTGGGATTCTGGAAGCTGAGCAGTGGAAGTGCTTTTTGAAGCGTTATGGAAGTTTGTGTCCTATATAGGTATATATATCAGAATAAACCACTTCTGTTTTTGTTACACTTCTTTTCTTTTGCTTTTGTCATCCAGCATATAAGAATCCTTAGATATTTTCAATAAATGTTTCTTCAGAAGACCTGCTCTAATTCGTTACTGATATGTGTGGTAGTGCCCATGCAGAAGAGCAGCAGGAAGCAACGCTCTGCACTGGAGGAAATAATGTTGACCAAATCATTTTTCAAATTAAGAACCACTTTTAAGTGGTATTTGTACATTGAAATATCTTATATTCCATCTCCAAAAAAATTAGTTTTAAGAACCTTTAATATCTGTGGTAGCAGGCTGAATGGGTGGCTTGTTGCAGTTCTGTTTTGTGTGTGCTCACTGGCTGGGTTACTTTGCTTCTTAGTAGAAAGAATTAGCAAATTTTAGTGGGTTCTCACTGAGTGCTCTCTGTGCTAACAGCTTATTGTGGTAGCAAAGAAACTCTGATGTTCCATCTTGGAGAGGTAGCAAGCTCAAATAACTGCATATGTTTTGTGAAACCTGTGTTTTTGCTGTGATTGCTCTGCACAGCAGTGTGTGGTGTTTGCATCGGGGTCAAACACTTTGCTGTCTCATCTCCACCTGACTTGTTTTCTATTGGATGATGTGTTCTGTTTTATTTCAGGGAGAGATGTAAACCCAAATACCTGAATAAGACCTCAGTGCGTCCGGGCCTTAAGAACTGCGGTGATGTAAACTGTATTGGACGTATCCACACGTACTTGGAATTAATAGGAGCAATTAACTTTGGCTGTGGTAAAAACAAACAAACAAACAAAAAAAACCAACAAAACTTCTATCAGAATTGATTCAGAACTTAAATTTCAGTCAGCATGTGCTGAGACCAGCTATTGCTTGTCAGCTTTCTTATTAACACGAGTATTTTCATGTGAAGAATGGATGTTTTTCTTTTCTTGCTTTCCCATATTGAATCATTTTGGAAATAAAACAGTCTCCATCCTCGAGGCTACTTTTTTTTAAAAAAAAAACAATATACAAATGTTGAAATTAATTGGCATGCTAAAAGTATATGTAGACACCTAAAAGTTACTGTCAATTGATGCTCAGTTTTGGAGTCCCTATAATGGGTTGATTCTGGTCCAAAGCTGAAGGATAAACACCTTGGTAGGGAGGGATGTCCTACAATAAATCCTGTCTAAAATGGAAGTTATTTCAAATGAATTAGTGGAGGGAGATTTTTCCCTTCTTAGAAATGCTGTGGTAGTGAGAGAAAACTATATAATCACTCATCAGCATGAGCATCAAAATCTGTCTTGATGTCACTTTTTTCTTCCTCTGTGGCATTTGTATCCCTTCAAACATTACTGAAGCACAGTGTGTATCTCCTGTATTTCCTGTAGAACAGGCTGTCTATAACAGACCACAACCAGCTGATAAATCTCGGTCCAAGGAAGGCAAAGACACAGTGGAAGCATACCAGCTTGCTCAGCGTTTGCAGTCCATGGTATGTCTTGGGGTCAAGGGGAAGAGAGTGGGTGGTGGAAAATTTGACATGCAGGTCTTTTCAAGCCAGGCCATCTCAGGAAACTCCTCCTCTTGTTCAGTTTGCAGTTTCATTAGAGCGCCCTTCAGTTCAAGTATCAGTTTAAGCAGAATTATTTTTTTTGACTGGTATCTGTTCTGTTTTCTGTTCTCTTGCATGTTAATTGCCCAGCTAATTAACTAAGATTTGGTACAGTCTTCTTCCTGGAATCCCAACCCCTTCCTCCCCAGCACCCCATAATCTGTTCATATAAATTAGTCCGAAAAGAGTGGAGTGCATTAGTAGAGTGAGGTTAAGTTGCTTGTGTCTTAATCATTAAGTAGACTGGGTGTGTGATTTGACTTGCTGAGAGTCTTATGCATGCAATTAAGTAGTAACTCATTCATAATTAGATGAATTACCAAGGTTTGCCAGATGTAATGTTCATATTTACATTTATTGTAGCATTTTGAAGTAATTCATAGGGAAATAAATCAGTTGATGAGAAGAAAACAAAATCAATCCCATTAAAGGAAAAAAAAAAAGCTTCAGCTGAGGAACAGTAGCTTACACAAGGCGCACACATACTGGTTGATAGCTTTCTGCATGGTCTGTGCTATAATTCACAGTTGGATAATAGTTTGCTGTTGCTGTGAGGGACGTTGATGTTCCATGCATTGATATCCAGGTGTTCTTTACAGCCTTAAAAACCTGAAAACATCACTGATGGTATTTTGTGACAGATTGTGAACTACTCGATTCTGCTGAACTCCAGGGTGTTTTCTGGAAGTATGTCACAGTGTTAGGAAAGCTCACGTGGCAGTGATCTTTTGGATGGTGTTCTTACAGCTGATTAAACACAGCAAAGGCATTTTTTTGCATGAGTTTGGTCCTTGATTTGTGATAATTTACTTTCTGCAGCGTACAAGAAGACGGCGAGTCCGAGACCCTTGGGGAAACTGGTGTGATGCCAAGGATTTGGAAGGGCAGACGTTTGAGGTAACCTGGTCTTGAGCCTTCATGTACATAAGTGATTATTGCTTGCTGTTACAATAAATGCTGCAGCTGTTACATCTGCTGATAAGTGACTGCACTTTGGTCTTTGCAAAGGTGTTCATGCTGTGAGCATGGATGGATCTACACAGCTGGACACCTACAGAGCTCTTTGCCTCATCTTGTATTGAACTTCATGACCCTTTAGTTAAAGAAAAAGTGTTTTTGCCTCAGTTTAGTTACACCCTTGATGTGGTGGGGGATGGTTTAATGCAGTGCTAAGGTTAAAATATCAAATCATCGAGGATCAGGAAAAGCTGACATTAATTTCTGTACTGATTCCTTTTGCTTATAACGTAAAATAAATCGGCCTTATTTTGGCACATGTCTGTTTTATTTAGTTCAGATTTGCCATGAATCTGGCAGGAAAAGGTTGGTTCCCTTTTCCAGAAAGAAAAAGGAGTTGCTTAACTCTTGTTCACTCTGGATTTCGGAACACTAAGTTACATTTATCCTGAATATTTATTCTGAATATCCTTGTTTATCCGGAGTGTTTAGGATAGAGCTTTAGAGTAGAGCAGCCTTGACAGTGTATGCAGACTGCATACAATGTGGAACTTGATCCTTGATGTGAGAGGAATTGGGCTAGTTCTCAGAAAATCTTGTTGCTCTGTTAGTTCCCTTCAGCCTTACTGAACGGTACAAGAGAATAATATATGAAGTTATTTTTCTTTAGGTCCAGCATGGTTTCTTTGTGCTTGTAATGCAGATGATGCGAGTTGGTGAGTTAGCAGGGATTCTAGTAGTATCTCCAGAAGTGCTGTCCTCTGTGGAGATGTTTTAAGGTTTTGAAGAAGATGTGGAAGATGCTTCCTCAAGCCCATCCATTCTTACAAGTTCAGAATTTAGGAAAAAGTGAAGAACAGGAAACATTGTTATTCTTGAACCCTCCCTCACAAAAAAAAAAACTAACCAAATCTCTAAGTTCACAGCCTTCAGTGGTAAGCATGTGTAACAGTCACTTCTGTTGTGTTATGCTGACAGAAGTGTTTCTTGTACAGCCCTGGTTAGTAAATACACCTTCTGCAAAACACAGCTTTGGTTTGCAATGAAAAGTGAAAATGCCAATCCCTGAAAAGGTGTTCTGGTACTTTGTGGCCACAGGTTACAGTGGGAGACTGTAATTGGTGGCACATAAGGAGGGCAGTGATGTCGAGGATTCATTCAAGACACTGAGATGGGTTTTTGCAATTCTTTTTTAGCATCTGTCTGCTGAAGAGTTAGCAAGAAGAAGAGAAGAAGAAAAACTGAAGCCTGCAAAATCATCTAAAGGTTCAAGACAAATAAAAAGGTATTTGCTGTACATCATGTTTCAAAACAGATCTCATAGAAAAAAAACAATTGGCTTGCATGGCATCGGGCTGGAACACTGCAAATCAGGAATGTGTGTCGTGGGCAGAAATGACATGTAGCATTTCAGATGTTTAGTGCTGAAACTCAAAAGTGTGGGAGGTGAACTTCTGCATTTGGTGGAAGTCTTCGTAGTATGAGATGAAAGACACACAGTAAAGAAATCCTCTTCTTCCTCTATTGAGGAGACAGTGGGAAACTAGGAAAGTTTCCTGACTGTCCTGCATCTTTAGAGACATTTTCTTTCGTTTTATAGTTCCTTTGATCCCTTTCAGCTGATACCATGCTGTTTATTCACTGAAGAAAAACGGGTATGTATCTGTGAGCGAATATCTATCATGCTTTAGTTTCTTATGTTACTTTCATCATGCTCATTGTTGTGTTTGTGATTTCAGGAACCTTTTCAGGTGAAAGTGTCTTCAGAAGCACTTTTAATAATGGATTTGGTGAGGAGGAAGTTTTATCTTACAGAAAGCTGTGATGTATGTGTTGGGAGGGGTTTTGATGGGCAGCATGGTTGGATTTGGCAACGCCGTATTTACTTCATGCAGTTTTTGAATGCTGTGGGGTTTCTGAAGTTAGCATTGCTTAATGGATGGAAGTGTTATACAGGTGCATTATAAACATGCATGTGTATAATAAGCAAACATTTTTGTTTGCTTTAAATTGAACCACTGGCTATTTTAGCATCTTTAGCTGTCCTAAGTTCTCCTTACAAATGTCATTGAGAAATTACTGAATTGCAATTGTGAAGCCAATGTGGTCTGTCAAGTGCAAATCAAAGTTTGGAGAAATTATACAGCTTGAACTTTAATAATGATGTTTAATATCATTTTAGCACTCACATGTGTCTATGGCAGAAGTAATAGGGTTGCTAGGTGGAAGATACTCTGAAGCTGATAAAGTTGTAGAAGTAAGTGTTTATCTTTTTTCCATTTTCTCTAAGTCATTAAAACTGTTGTGTTTGAATTGATGCAAATGTTATTTCTCCGGGGCATCTACTTCAAGCATATTGAAGCTGAAGTTAATTACCACAGTCTTGAAATGGTTTTCATGCTCTGTGTTGAAGTGTTGGCTCGTCAGCTCTTTCACAAGGAAGATCTGGCACGCAACTTAGAATTCTTTAAATGAATCTTATTGAACTGATTAAGATTTCTTGCATTTATCCATCTGGAGACTTTCTTAACAGGTTTGTGCAGCAGAGCCGTGCAATAGCCTCAGTACAGGGCTGCAGTGTGAGATGGATCCTGTATCACAAACGCAGGCCTCAGAAACACTTGCTGCCAGAGGATACGGTGTTATTGGGTGGTACCATTCCCACCCAGCGTTTGACCCCAACCCCTCCATACGAGATATTGACACCCAAGCTAAATACCAGGTACTTACTGGTCTGTACATTAATAATAAATAACCAAAGAAAGTGCAACCCCCTCAAGCCCATTCACAATGTTAATGCACACTTCTGCCCTGTTGCTTGTTCAAAGCATGTTCGTGTGTTGTTCATGCAGCATGCTGATGCTGGCTGGCTTAAATGAGGTTGAACGTGTATGAATGCTTCCCAGACTTCCCACTATTCTTGTCTGTCCTTTGATTTCAGGATGCTGTTGTGAAAAAGGCTTATTTCTGATGTGTGGTTTTGTTTGTTTTTCAGAGTTACTTCTCCAGGGGCGGTGCCATGTTCATTGGAATGATTGTAAGTCCTTACAACCGAAACAATCCTCTGCCGTATTCTCAGATTACTTGCCTGGTGATCAGTGATGAGATCAGCTCTGATGGTTCCTACCGTAAGTACTGATAGTTTCCCCACTGTTTTAGCTTCTCTTATCCTTTTAGATGTTAGGGGGAAAAATACTGCATACTCTTGAGCCAGGCCTTGAGAAGCAGGTGTACGTTGCTAAGGAAGGACTTGCGCTGTACAAAATGAGGAATTGCTCCTAAGGGATAGTCCTGCAAGTAGCCCTTGCTATTAGGAGAATATGGAAAGGCTTGAATAGATAAAAGATTGTGTTTGCTCTTTACTGACATTGTAGTATTTCTCACAATCTGGGAAAGAAAGAAAGGAGTCAGAGCAAGGTATGCTTGCATACAGCATCCACGTGAAAATCTGGGAAACTCTTTCAAAAGCTTTACTTGTTTTCTGTAAAGCAGCAGAGTTTAAATCCTCTGATAGAGGAGGCCAGAAATACTATAGCAAAGACTTGGCTGCTGTAGTGGTGGGAAATTCTTACTTGAGTAACTAAATATTCAGAAGGATGAAGGATCAAACTTGCCAGCTGTCCAGGAAAATGCAGATATAAAGATGAATTATCAGCAGATCCTAGAAATGGTGTGCTGGCATGAATCTCAACCAAAGAGAGTAAGTACATGGCTGCTTAAAAACATAACTGATGTTTTGTGAGAACAGGATGGCTTTCTTTCTTGAGTAGTTCAGACACTTAATATAAAACGTTTGGAATTTCTACTGTTGATGGGGTTTTCCTCTCGTTACCTGATAATAATCTGAGGACAAATCCGAGGATAACAGAATATGGTTGTGGTCTCTGCCCCTTCTCTCTTCTCCTTCCTTCTCCCATTTTAAGACCTGATTTCTGTATCCAAACATGAAGATATCCAATGTTTTGGCCAACTAGTATAAGAGGCCATGTGATCTGACAGTTCCCCCTCTGTTTCTTTCCTGTGGATGTGAGCAATGGAGACCATCTGCCTGGAGACTTGGGGAAGTGAAGTGGTGATCACATTTGTGCAGTACTTGTACTATAAAGTTTAGTTCTTTGGGCTTTCTTTCCTTCTGTTTCCCATTTGTGCCACACCTGTATTGTGGAGTTAAAATCTATAGGAATGCTATCTGGCCTTAGAAGTAGACATTTTCTTGATCACCTACATTTTCCATCTGAGATGACTTAATATTTCTGTTTTCCTCTGAAAACTGCATCTTACAAGGTGGCATCTCAGCTGGCTCTTGAGATGTGTTACGCTGTAGCAGCAGTGCTGTAGCTCTGTGCAAAGGAACAAAATCAGTATTTAATGAGATCTATAAATATTTCTGCAGGTTCAACTAACAAATCGTATCGATTGCTCTATTTTCATTACACTGAGGTGTAGTTTGAAAGCATGCAACTCATCGCATTGAATTCTTAGGATCTTAGGAAAGTAGGGTTTTTTTTGCTGCTTTTTATTTTTATTTATTTATTGAGTATCTGAAATTTAACACTTTCTCTCATTTTTGGTACCTGACTTTATGCTTTCCAAGTAACTCTTCTGGAATATTTCCTAGATTTGCCCCTCCACACCTCTGTACCTTCAATAAACTAGCAGAATTTCTTCCTACAGGAAGATTCCTCTGAAGCCTGGAACAGTAGCAGGCGTTCCATCAGCCAGTTTGTACATGGAAAGCAGTCTTCCTTTCTTTCTTGTTTAATAGCCACACAGATCTTACAGAGATGAAGTGGTTCTGACTTAAAAGAACTCAATTCATGTTGCCATTTTTCTGTTACATTGTGGATTTCTTTTTCCCTTCTTGTTCTCCACAGTTCCTCGCACAGATATCCACCAAAATTAGGTTTCCCATCCCAAGTATCACACTTGAACATCTTTATCACTGACAAGTGCTAAGTGTCCGTGACCTGAAGACATTTTTAATGTATTGTAAAAATGTTATGCAGTGAGTATTTGTGTTTGATTTATTACAGGCCTGCCCTACAAATTTGAAATACAGCAAATGTCAGAGGAACCTCAGTGGGAATTAATATTTGAGAAAACAAGATGGATAATTGAAAAATACAGATGCTGTCACAGGTATGTTTTGCTTTGTAGTATGCAGAAATTCTAAGCTGAGTATGTTTATTATTGTGTTTCAGTAAAGAAATAAATCTGCTCTAACCTTTCTCCTGCTTTCCTTCTTTTCTTTCAACAGCAGTGTCCCCATGGATAAAATCTTTCATAGAGATTCAGACCTGACTTGTTTGCAGAAAGTAAGTTTGCTGCTTTTGGTTCTCAGGTTTTGTAATTTAAAATACTATTTGAAATATGTCTGTTCAGTATCATCAGGTGTCACATCTAAATGTTAGACATAGACTAATCCCAGTGAATGACTTCTGTGGTGCAGCTTTTTGCTTACAGCACAGTGACAATAAGGATGCTCGCTTGAGATAGTGGGCATAACAGTAACAGACAGCTGCTACATTTTAGCCTCCTTTTTGGGGGAGAACAAATGGCAAATGAATGACATCTCAGCATGTCGTGTGCTTTCAGTGTGAGAACTGCACACGTGTTGAGAGAGATTGATCCTAGTCCTTTATTCTGCCAGTGAAGTGGAGCTGTACTGTGTTTATTACACATAAGTGAGAATTTCAATTTTCCAGTTGGTGTAATCATCACTATGAGGTTCTAAACTACAGCTGTAACACTAATTGCACAAACCAAACAGAAAATCTGCCCAAAGCAAAAGGCGTCAACAGAAAACATACACAATAATTATCCACGTCTCTTTTTTCCCCTCCCAATGTGGCTTTGGCTACAAACAGCTGACGTCTGAAATTGAGGTGGTCGAATTCTCTTGAATTTAGCTGTTGTGTAAATTTGTGATTGACAAAATAATACACATCTCCCCACAAAAGGCTGTCAGTTCTTTTTTTGTCATGGCCAGTTGCTGAGCAGTAGCTCAATCAGATCATGAGGAGATGTTCCTTTCTGCTGTAGTGGGGTATGGCTCTTTTTTGAGTGTGTTTTTTTTTTTATTTTAAAAGCCCAGTGTAGAAAATTCACCCATTTGTTCACACACAGCTGTTCTTTTCTGAAATCTGTGTTGTTCAATTGATCTTAAAGTAAATAAATTAAAAACCAGTTTGAAATACCAAGTAGTAAGAAGGAAACAAAAATTCAGGAAAACAACTTTAAGATTTCGTTTTCTCTTGGCTAGCTGTTGGAGTGCATGAGGAAGACCTTGGGCAAGGTAACAAGCTGCTTCATTGCTGAAGAGTTCTTGACTCAAATAGAAAACTTATTCCTTTCCTTGTACAAGAGTGAAAAGAAGAGTAATGCTGAAGAAAACAGGAATGAATGTTCAAGTGAATTAGAATCATAGAATCGCCAAGGTTGGAAAAGACCTACAGCTCATCCAGTCCCACAGTCCTGTCACCAATAATTCTCACTAATCCATGTCCCTCAACACAGCATCTAAATGTTCCTTGAACACCCCCAGGTTTGGTGACTCCTCCATGGGAGGAGGCCTGACCGCTCATTCAGAAAAGCAGCGTTTCCTGACACCCAGCCTGAATCTCCCCTGGCACAACTTGAGGCCCTTGTCAGTGTGATGGCTCAAACAGAACAAGTCTGGATTTTTATTTTTATTTTTTTAATTCTTATTTCACCCACCAATTTCTTTTCCTTCTTGCATTACGTCAACGCTTTCAGAACTGTGACCCATTTTAATAGTAATAGGTAAAGTACCCAGTCTCTTTGTTTTGTTATGGTTCAAAGAAACTGAAGAACTCCTGGTGAGTGTGATCAGGCTACGTGAGGAGCATTTGCTGTTAACATATAGAGAAACCATGTATCACAGGGTCAGTGAATTATTTATAGCCCAGCCTGTGGTCTGGGAGAAGGACAGGCTGCCCACAGTACTGTGCTTCAGTCTTCGAGGAGAGTTCTCTCATGTTCTCTCACAGTTCTCTCTTTCAGGTTGGGAATTTTGTTGTCATGTATTTTTTTAATTGACAGGCATGTGTATCTGACACTCATGGATTTGTTCCTTAGTGCTTTCAGAGTCTAAGTTCAAGTGAATTCACAGAGGGGGAACTGACTGCTCTGCTGAGATGAACGATGTGTACTCAGAGCAGCTGTTTGGCATATTGTTTGCCATCTTGCTTTTATTTTGGGTGGAGAAGGCTGGCCACTTGTTGTCTTCTCATTACTAGTTGTGCTTGTTTCCAGTGGAAATGTGAACTCCTGTTTGTTACAGGTTGCAATCTTTCTGATCTTCCATTCTACAAGAAGATAATATATTTTTCTGTCAGATCATTGAGATTTGCCCACATTTAATTGCCAATGTTTCCTGTGGAAACGAGCTCTTCATTGTTGGCAAGTGTAGAGCAACAAACAGAAGATTGCCTCTTTTTTGGGGGGGAGGGACACAAAGAAAAACGTGCTTTAAACTTTGCCCTCTAAATCAAGAGGAGTTTTGACCTCAGTACACAGATTTATCTTGGGCAAAGTTTCTTACATCTAAGAAATATGTTTGAAAACATGAAGCAAGCCAGAACGTGACTTTGTACTCATAGGGATAAAGATGGATTTGATTCTTATTTGAAAAATACATGTGTATGTATATCTACTTCTACATCTATAAATGGGATTTAAGATTTTATATGTTTAAATCTTCAGCTTTTCATCTGAAAAGCTTTAAAATTGTACAGTTGCATCCTAATGAGGGAACTCCTTGCAGAGTTTAGAATTACCTTCTTTCATCACATCTCATAACGTCAGTTTCTAAGTGGAAGATGCAGAACATGAATGTGTGGAAGTCTGAGCAGTTGCTGTTTGATGGTTCTCTCGGTGCACATTTGAGGATTATGGTCTGGAAAATGTTGGTGACTGTTCTTTCTCTTCTCTGCCAGGTGTGTTTGTGCACAGTTTTAGATCACACTGCTGTGTATAACTTACAAACTTGGTGCATCCATCTGTTTAAGGCATGCTGACTCTGCATATATTCGAAATCATCATCTTTGGGAATTCCTAATTAAAAACACTGCATGGCTTTCTGTATTTCTGATTTAGACAACACTCTTGGTGACAAAGCATTCTGTCCTGAGTTGGTTCTGTCCTGGATGATCTGCAGCATGAGGAGTTCTGCTGCAGTTTTACATAGGATACTCCAGAAACATCATATGCTATATATTGTATGTACTAAAAGCTGTAGTTCTCCTATAAACTAGAAGGAAATTTCAGCCTCATATGTAACAGCAATATGAAGTAGATACCATTCTTTGTCCGTATACACGAATGTCAGTGTTACCAAAGTAGTGGTAAGAACGTGCTGGCTGCTTTTCTGCTTAAGAATTAAAGCGAGTTAAAGTAATACAGTCGTATTAATTGGTTTTAAGTCGCATTAAGTCAGAAGAATTTGGAGTCAAACTCACTTCTGAAGCAGCTCAAATCTCCAGAGTATGTGCAGAACTGAGCTTTTGATACGTGTGCACACAAAGGCACCAGGTTTCCCAAGGGTGATCTGGTACCAAAGGTTTCCATGGGCTGTGTCTCAAAGTGCAGGAAGGGTGATGGGGGCACGCAGTGAGCTGGTAGTGCCACCGTAATCCTGTGTGACCACACCGCGTGGCATGAGGATTGGAAATAGTGTGTTATCAGGGCAAGTAATAATCCTGTGGGCAGGAGTCATGGTAAGAAGTACTCTGCTTTTTGTCCTTTGTCTTTGTGTCTAATAATGAGCTTGGAAGTTGTGTGCTTCTGAGATGTATGCTACTAATACTGTCGGTTCTGCTACCAAACACATACAAGGCATTAAATACGTTTATTGAGAAGCTCGGTGTTTTTTCATTGGATTTTTTTCTTATGTTAGCTCTGTTTTAGGACAAATACTGCAGGCTAATGTATTTTTTTGTTTATGTAAGACCCCACGTCTCATCTAGCCAAGCATTTCCTCCAGGAGAGGGGTAAATGCTTGAGCAGTCATTGGAACAATGGAATTCAAACTGGGAGAGTCACCCCTGCATCCTGAGATGTAGCTCTTGGCCATTTGTTGTCTGAGTGAAGTTTTGCTGCCCCAGTAACCAGCAGCACTTTTTCACAGCTATTTATACCTTGTTCATGGTGAGGATGGGGGGCTTGTCCATATTCCTTTGAATATTTTTTCCCCTTTCACTCACTTCTTTGATATTCCTGACTGATGGTATCCAAGAATCTGTTAATAAAGACTGAATATTCTGTACTTCAGAAGATGCGTTCCAAACTTTTAATAGCTTCTTGCTTCTTGAAGGTAACATCTGCTATTGCTTTATTTGAAGCTGGTCAGAATGAAGAATTGGTTCAGCTCAGTGTAATACCACTAGAGGGAGCTTAGGTACAGATGATACAAAAAAGTAAACTACAGAATACAGCAGAAATGATTGTCATTTTGAACGAAGAGCGAGAACTATTCTTACTTATGTATGCAGCCTTGCGGTCAGTGATTAAGTTTTGTGGGCAGTAGCTTGTATGCTGTTGCTTTCGTTTGTTCTTACCAACTCTCTGCTCTGATCTCCAGAAAATTAGGATGGTTTGTGGCAGGGATGCTGAGATGGTAGAGCTGTATTTTCACACTATTTCCTTAGAAACAATTCTAGCGTCCTAGCTGTAGGATCACTGAAATAATATCATGCAGTTTTTCTCTCTCCCTCACCACCACAGGCAACTGCCATGACTTCTGAAGGTGGTCATCAAGTTATCTTTCAAACTGCTGTATGCATTACCCAAATTTCATTCAAGTGTGTTGGTTATAGCTCTATTCCTGCTGCGCCAGCAGGGAACTTGATCTGCTAGGAGTTTCTGGGCAAGGAGAACATTGTTGAGTAGCGGAGAGAGAAGCTGTGCAGGCGAAAAGCAGGCTGCACTGAGGTGTGCAGCACACTGCAGTGTGCCACCTGCACTGGGCAGAGCAGTGTAGCTCAGCACTGCAAGGGAAGGAAACACTGCAAAGGAAACACTGCTGCAAAACTGTGAGGGAAATGGGGATGTGTGCGGCGTGGCTGCAGAGCCAGCGCATGGGAAGTTGCTCGTTCGTGTCTCAGGGAACGTGGTAATGGTGTTTGATACTGAACAAAGCATTTAATGGCCTGGATGAAAGCCTTCTGGTTGTTTAATTGGAAGTGCCTTGCTGTTTTACACAGACCTACTGCCCTATTTTCATGAGACTTAAAATTGTGCAGAAAAATTGTTTCCATGGAAGCGGAGATCACAAAAGAAATAATACTCCGTGTTTCCTACAGGATTCCTTTTACAGCCTGCTGTTCTCAGCAATTAACTCTTGTAGTGCTGTTACAGTTTAGCGTGGGTTCAAGGAGGTAACAAAATAATACCTTGAGGGACTGTGTATATATACTTGACTTTTTTCCTTTCCTGCCTTTGAAAGAAATCTGTTCTCTGCATGTTTACAGAGGGAAAATCTACAGTGGGGAAAAGAAGTTAATGGAGGAGTACACGCTACTTTGGCAAATTATGGAACTCGGTCAGGGAAACTTGAAGTTATTCCTGCTTTCCCCTTTTCTTGCCTCAGTTTTACTTTTTTTTTTTTTTTTTTTTGTGAATAAAAGCACTGCTGTGGACTCTGAACCAGCTTTGATGGAAGCAGCAATTAATGGAGTTTTTAATTAAGGTAACAGTAGTGAGAATCATCACCAGCAGGGAAGTCAGACCATCTGTTTTAATTGCCTGTCATTTTTCTTCCATACATTACTTCTGAAAAACCACTGTGTTATTCTGTTTCACTGTGTCTGTAAGGAAGGAGAAACTATCAAATGGTGATGGGAGGCTCAGACCAAGGCTGAGCATCGCATGAGGAAAGTGCTGTCACCTAAAAACCTTCACTAAATAAAGTGCTTTCAGAGCACAAGGGCGGCTCAGCTCTCAGCCATACAGCAATTGCTGTAGTTTCTTTTGAATCTGGTTATGAGCTGTAACATTTTATAGCTGGTGAGGGTCTGTCCTCAGTGAGACATCTCAGAGGGCAAAAACAAAGGCTGCTCTCTCTGAAGTGCATAACGTCAAATAAAGACATAGCATGAGGACGTAGCTGACAGTTAAATAGATTTTGACTTTGAAGGAAGGATATGGATTTTATGTATATCTAAGATAGGGAAATTAATTACTTGGAAATAAAAATGACATGAGAGTTGGGATGTAGTACATTTGTAAAAAAAAAAAACAAACAAAAAAACCCCTCAAAGTGGGAAACTGAATTACTTGGTGATTTCATAAAAATTGTATCAGTAGTTCACAATGACTTCCTACAGCTCTTCAATGATGATATTTTAATCCTAGAGGAGGGGAAGTGAAGAGGTGCAGTAATGAGCTATAGGTCTGAAGAGGAGCCAGGAATGATTTGAAGAACTTGCCTCATCTTTGTTGCCCTAAGTAGCGTGAATTTCTATGGCTGATTTAGAAACAGGAGGAGGTCTATGGACAGATTATGGAGTGAGAGGGAGTGTTTGCATCTGCAGCTTCAATTCTAAACCTACACCATGTCATTAATGCTCATCGGTAGCCAGGGTAACTTCCTACTGTTCACATACACACAAGTCATCATTACAGGCAGCCCTGCTCGTGGTGATTTCAAGCAGGTCAGGCCCTCAGGAAAACAGAACAGGCCAAAAGAATTGTCTGCAAGGCAGCACAGAAGTTGTGCAGATGGGAGAATGGTGCTGTTCAAAATAATGATTTATAACGGGTCTGACAACATTTGACAAACAGATAGATGACTTAATGCTAACTGGAAATTGTGGTTCATGCTTTGTAAATCATCATTAAGATACTTGGGAGCCACTGGAGTGTAGTGTGATAGGCATTACTCAAAGTTGAGACTGAAAAATGTCTTCAGAAACCACTAACAACTTTGTAAGGGTAATGAAAGTTAGGAAATTAGCATTCCTAATACTGCTTTGGGATGAGTAGGGAAAGGGAAGCTTTCTGTAGTGGAAGCTGAGATGGCTCTCCTATGCTAAGTAAAAGTTCATCAAACTGATGAATTGTCTTTCTACCTGAGTTGGCAGCTACTTCAGGGTTCTGTTGGATCATACATAAAATAAAGCCCTCTGCAGTTTTATAAGGATGTGAAAGTGGCATCTGGACAGTGGATGATACAGAAGTTATGTAAGAGGTAGGAAAAAATCACAATGAACATAGAGGAGTAGGATTGCCTCGGATGAGTGGGACTTCCTCCAAAAGAAATGGCGGAAGTTCCTTACAGATGCATTTGTCTGTGGGCTCCGTAAAAATCCTGACGAGAGAAGAAGGCGAGGTGAAGCCTTGTGCTCTAATCTGTAAGCTCAATGCAGGAGCTATGCTTTGGGTCTGCTTTGCCTCCTCCGTGTTGCTCCCTCACCACGAGGGATGTCAGGCATCTGGGCAATCAGTGCTGCCCACTTAGAAATAATAGATGAAAGCGCAGCTCCTCTGGCATCTGGGCATGAGAGACCAGTTGTTTTAGAAGAACTTGTTTGTCAGATCTGATTGTACTTTGAAGAAAGGAGCTGCACAACAGCGTGTAGAAACAAGTCCCCTAGCAGATACAAGCTCCAGACAACGCTTGCTGCCACTTCCAGCTGTACCCACACGTACCTGCACTATGGAGCCTCTGCTTGGGGTTACGCTGGGTTTGATTCTGATGGTAGCTTCATCGGCACGGAGCTGTACCTGCGTGACCAATAAGTGGACAGTATGCGACCAGGATGCATCTGACAACTGCACCTGCAGGCTGGTAGGTTCAGATCATACAGTAGATTGTTCGACGCTGACTTCAAAATGCTTGCTGATGAAGGCAGAAATGTCTGTCCTGAAGCTCTCCTACAGACCTCGGGTTAAGCTGCTGGATGGTGGCATTTACGATCCAGACTGCGAGGACAGCGGTATCTTCAAAGCCAGACAGTGTGACGAAGCTGGAACTTGCTGGTGCGTGAACACAGCTGGAATAAGAAGAACTGGAAAAGGTGACAAAAATTTGATATGCAATGAAGTGATAAGAACAAACTGGGTCGACATCGAACTGAAGCACAAAGAAACATCCCATTACTTCGAAGCTCTTGATGTAGCAGAAGCCCTGACACGTCTGTTTGAGAACCGGTACAAACTGCGACCCAAATACATCGCAGCTGTGAAGTACGATTCCCCATTTATCCAAATCCACCTAAAACAGAATAACTTGAAGCAGCGGGACGTAGATATAGTTGATGTAGCCTATTACTTGGAAAAAGACATAACAGGGGACTCTGTGTTTCATTCTGACAGCACATTTCTTGTCTCTGTTAATGGGAAAGATCTGGCTATTGAAAATATACGCATTTACTACGTTGATGAAAAGCCACCAGTGTTTAGCATGAAGCAACTGCTTGTTGATATCAGTGCTGTGGTGGCAGTGGCAATACTGCCTGCTGGTTTTGTCACTATTTTGGTGATTGTTCTGTGCCAGAGAAGAAAATACAGAAAAATTAAGATCGAAAAGATGAGTGAAACAGAAGGACAAATTCTAGAGCTCTAATCTGACAGAAAGAATCAAACTGCAACTTCAGCAACCAGGCAGAGGTGGGAAGGGCAAAATAAGAAGAATGAACAGACTTTGTGTAATGTGGATGGATTTGGAGTTGTCTCCCATTTTGTAGGAATTGACAAAGCACTCATTTTGAATTATTCTACTAGAAAAAACAACTTTTCCTTGGGTATAAATTAAACTAGGAGTTGGTAACTGAAGTCTGGGACCAAAAGTCTCAGTTCGGAAGCTACACAAAGTGTAATTGATATTTTGTGCCAATATAGCATACGTGCACTTGTACCGCAGACTTCGTTCGCTTGCTTAATATTTAAGCCAAGGTTCCTCGTGTGTTTGCTTAGAGCAAAATAATAACAGCAATAAAAATGTTTTAAAAGTCTTCAAAGTTGCTGGAGCTTCTTTTTGTCAACGATTAATTTTGTCGGTGTCTCTAATCAAATAAATTGGGATAAAATACCTCTATTGCTGATGGCTTTGATGCAGTCAAGTGTTAGCAGGCAGCACTGTGGTCACTTCCATTTGTGCAGGGCCTCAGTTCTTTGTATTCAGGTAGAACTCAGCTTTCCCAGCTCCAGGTCTGGCATTCAGTCAGCAATGATCCCTTGATCCCACTGTAAGTTAACCTTGCTTTTCTTTCCAAATTCAGATAGTAGCTTTCTGTCTACCTAAATATCCCTCGTAGTTGTGTCAGAGGAGATATTTTTTGGTTTTTAACAGTTTTACACAACTGCTACATAAAGCTAATAAAACGCTTTATTTAGTAGAGCTGCAAGGGGAATTTCAGCAGTGTAATTGCTGCAGAGTCCAAAACCACAACCCCATCCCAAATACAGGAATCTGTCTGGGGAATGACTGGCTACTGGGAAAAGAGTGAAGATAGTTTGGTTCTGTTTCTGCCTGTTTATCATGGAAGAAGAATGGACTTGGATTTGGGAGCAGGGGGTGTTATTTCTGACAGCATACAGCATCACTACTGATTTCTCACCTACTGGAAAAACACCGGATGGGCAGATGCATCGCCTTTCCCCCACATCAGATTTTTACAGCTACATTAGCAACATAATGCAAATGAAATAAACCAAATAAAGATAACCAGTGTTAACGAGAGGCTGTGTGCTATCATTTAGCCGCATTATGTAACACAGGGAGTGATTACTTTAACTATGCAGAGCTATCTGTTGTCTAAATTACATTTGCAGTTCTGACTGGGGAAAGGCTGCCTTGGTTTGAAAACTGAAAACAGCTCCCACAGAAAGAACCCCTGGCTCTAAGCTACAGCTCAGGAGAGGCTAATGCTGCCCTCTGCATACAGCGCTGTCTTAGTTCAACTGACTGAAGTGGGCTTTAGTCTTTCCTTTTAGCTTTTAGTTTAAAAAACAAATAGACTTTTTTTTTTAGCCGCCGGAAAGTGCCAGTTGCAATCCAGCATTAGAGCAAGGAAATGAAAGATAAGGATTCACAGAGGGATTAAAAGCCTCCTCAACTCTGCTCCCTCTGCCGCCCTGGTGAAAACCATGCCTGCTTCCATATGCAAGTATGTACTCAAAGGGTTGGCACATCATCCCTGCATTAGTTTGCAAATTATTGGTGTGTTTGCATTCTCGTAGGTTCCCATACCTGTATTTAAAGATGCACATTGCTATTATTTTTTTTTTCTCCTGGAGCAGGCAAGCCCTAGGGAAAGCTTGTGGCAGCAGATCCTACGCTTCAGCCAGCCTGAAGCCTGACCTAGCTCTTATCAGTGCTAACGCAGTCCAAACCCGCTGCTGTTCTGGACGACAAAGAGAATCTCTGCTCGTCTCATCTTTCCCCAATTAGGACTGATCTCTGTAGGGCTCTTTGCACTGGGACTACAGCAAGATGAGGTTAACTCCTATGCCATACCCATCCCTTCTTGTTTGGATAATAAAACATTAGCGTGTCTGTGATGGTGAACACTTCATGACAACAGGACACAGGATCCCCCCAGTAGTCCTTAAAATGTCCCTAAAAGTGTCAGGGAGTCACTTAGAAATAAGAGCTGACACATTGAAATCACTTTTTCAGAGAAAAAAAAAGTAACAAATAGACCTTTCTTTCATTTCTCTTAGCTGGAATGATTACTGCTATTAAACAGACTGTCCTCCTTGTGCAAGTATTCAGGTATAATTACCCTTTCCAAACCATCTCCATTGATTAGTTGGAGGGTTTAAGTACAGCATCTGTCTTCTTTATGCTAAAATACATCTTGAGTTATTGCAATTACTTTCAGAGCAGGAAAAAACAACTTTTAGCATTTATATAACTATTCACAGCAGCTCCCAACAGAATTCTTTGTACTGGTTTTTATCTGGTGAAGATTTCACACACTTCAGGCAGCCTGACAATATTCACATCTCATTTTCATGCCCATCCCTTCTGCCTGAGGGATAACACTCTTACAGTCCTACTCCAGCACAAATCAAGTGCCACAGAAACAATTAGGGATATTTCATATTATCTAAGTGAAATAATGAGAATATATTTAATTTTCCACTGAGATTTTTACATATGGGCACAACAATACTGGTTTTGCTTGAAATAAATGGATTCATAAGGCCGGAGAACAGAAATCTCTGCGTTTCTGCTAGCCTGATTTTATCCAAAAAAACAAAGTGGAACAACTACAAAGTAATGGAGGTGGCACTGCTGCAGTCACTGCACTGCACAGTGCAGAAATGCTCAGCTCAGTTTCCCCAGTCTTAGCACACATCTGTCGAATTCTCTTTTTTTCCTGTCCTCATGTGCTCTTTTCTGCTGTTAGAGATACACCACCTTTACAACTGTCTCAATTCTGCCGAAGGACTTAAGTGAAATCTCCAGTACCAAAAGTTAATGAGTGCTCCATTTCTAAGTCTCTCTAAATAAATTTCCTGCTTTAGAGATCTAGTAGAAAAATTCTGTGGTGTTTGCTATTTGAACTGGGATATTTTGTACACAGTTGCTTTAAAAATAATTTCCAAATTAATTGCAAGAATTAAAATATATATATATTGATAGATTCTCAGAATTTCTGCCAGTTTTGCAACTGCTAAGCGTTCAATTCACACTTTAAAGTGCAGTGATTGTCAGATACACCCAGCTACCAGCAACAGGGAATGCTGGAGATCATTTGCATTATAAAGACATCTTAAACGGCTCAAAAATCAGGAGCTCTTCAAAAGTATTGGATCCGGATGTTTACATTTGGTTCCTTAACTCTAAATATCTCGTCTGTATTTAGGCTACTCTGAAAAACTACTGAGTGCACTTTGCCCTGGACTGACCAGAAGCCTGGGTCAGCAAGGCACTCATTGTGTGACTCAGTGCAAGTCTGATGACAGCACTGCACGATTCCCAAGATGCTAGGACTCAAGAAATGACACCAGCAAGCTGGGAAATCCAAACCAATTCACTGGTAGCAGGAGATCCAATAATCATTCGTGGCTCTTACAGAGTCTTTTATTAAAATACAACATTGCAAGCAAATGAGATCACTCTGCCTCTTCACGGATGCTTTGGAAGGGACTATACTGAATTTTACAACAACTTCTATAGTCCTGCAGTAGTTTTCCATTCCGTTGAGTAACTTCATCTTCTAGATTGTAATTTTACTTTTTTTAAACTATACTGTAATACATAAACAGCAGAAATAATGATTACTTATTAACAAATAGATACATATCTACTAGCATCCACGTTCAGGTATGTCAGTGGGACAAGGACAGGTTAGCTAATATGATATGTACACAACACAGAGCACTCAGTGGATTGAGACTGGATCTGGTGAACAACATTTGGAAGAACTTCAATAATAATGACACGTTAACTATTCTTTGAAGTTCACATGAACTCCTTGGATTTCTGCTGGTCAAACAGACATAAGTAGCATTAAATCCAATTTATGACTTGCAGAAGGCTGATAGACTTTATTGTTTCTGACAAGATTTTAGCCTGCCACTGATGAGCAGATGTGAATTACTTTGAAACTTGAATGACAAAACCATCACTCATGATTGTTGGGTTTTTTTTCTGCCTAGATTTAAATAAAAGATAAACATTTTGCCATACATTGGTTTTTTTTTCACTTAAAAATGAATACTTTACATTTTAAGTGACAACTTTTTAATTGTCAGGATTAAAATTGGTACTAGGAAGGTGTCATTATAAAAAGGCTTCCACTTGAATATACAGAAAAATCATTAATGTTTATAGTTACCTTGTTTTTAATTACTTCTATTGGATTTCATATTTGGCAACTGCATCCAACTTTGAGGTCAGCCCTCTTCCAAACAGAATATAGGACCAAATTACCTCCAAGAGATCCCTTCCAGCCTGTATTACTCTATGATTACATAACCCAGAATAAAAGATTTGTAAGAAATCGATTTGAGTTGCAATGATCTTTGTAACACCCATCCTCTCACTAAAAAAAAAACAAGCTCCAGCTCTATGAGACAAAGACTCAAAAATACCAAAGACACGGCAGTACTGCCAACTGCTTGAGTGAAAGGTTTTAAACATGAACAACATTTCATTCAGTTTAGTGTGACTACTTACAGTAATACACAGAGATTGGATACATCTACACAGGCCTTCTGGTCATCTTCAGAAATGCAAATTACAGACCTTTTTTGAAGAAGAGATGAGGCTAGCAACAAAATCTCAGCACAGAAGTTTCTTCAGAAAAGAAAAAAGTTACATACATGTATAGTTGCTAAAATTCAAGAGAAGCCATGGTGAAAATCACTAGATCTATTTTATTATTTATTATCTCCAAATTGGCAATTTGGAGAAAAACACCACTTCATCACCAATTGCTCAACCGCCTTCCAGATTTTCAGAGATGCAGTTCATGTCAGTATCTGATAGAAAGATCCTATAATTATCTGTGTTGTATTTGCTGCTTGTCTGCTTTGAAATCTTAATTGTAAGTGATAAAACTTGTGGAGAAGTGCAGAACACAATTCTTTATGCACTCAAAACACTTTATGCTCCATCTTTATGCACTCAAAACTCAAAAACACACAAAAAAATCCAGTGATTTTAATGGGAATGAGGAATGAGGTGAGGTTTAATAGGTGAGGCAGGAATGCAGAAATAGCTCTAATAGCCTCTAAGCAGACAGGTAAATAATGAATCCAGATGAACAAATAATAGCAAAAACAAAACAAAACAAACGTTCAGCTGGTTTAATATAAAATGGAGTCTCTGAGGTGGAAGAATGAGATTTTCTCCACAGACCAAACAGGAGAAAGTACTCATGCTTGGCTTAGGAAGGGAGAATTCTGCATGAAGAAAACATGGAAAAAAAGATGATCAGAGGGCTGGAGCATCTCTCCTATGAGGAAAGGTTGAGGGAACTGGGATTGTTTAGCTTGG